ATAAATAAATAAATAAATGCAAACAAACAAACAAACAAACAAATAATTCCGTAAGTCGAGGGTCCACTGTATTGTTTCATACCTGTTTTACATAGTAAAGAAATTCATCTAATCCAGGTCTCTGTGTAATCATTTACTGTTTTGCATTACTGTGGAAGCCTGTAGCTTGGTAAGTGACTTGATAAAACCTGTTAGGGTGGCAGTCAGAAAAGAGTATCTGAGTATGCTCAGTTAACTGCCCAGTTTGGAACTGTCAAAGTACAGACTGTGCGTCTTGGGTGAACCCTCATTGTCAGGTGGGGAGGAAAGCCCCCTTATTTTCAGAGGATTTGGCCCCAAAATTAGTCCTGTCTGGTTGTTACTTCATCACCCTTAATAATGGCATCCAAAATCTTCTGCCTGAGGCAGCAGCAACACACCGGTAATGCTGGCTTTGCCTATCCCTGCCCTGAAGTCTTCAGTAAAAACGTGTCTAGGCTTCTCTCAGACACATTGGGGGCCGAAAGTTGCACAGTGCAACCTACTACATATATATAAGTTAGATGCACTGTTGTGATTTGAGAAAGCACTCTTGGCTGCTGTCCAGAGCATTACTAGATGGTTTCAGGTTTCTTAGCAGAGTTACAGTGAATCAGATGGAACGGCAAAGCATAGTCTGAACAGAGGCAGAGAGAAAGAAGGTTAGGGTAGGTGATAAATTACTGGGTGGGCAAAGGTGGTTGTGGTGTTCATCCTCGTGCCCCCTTGCTTGACCGTCAAGACTCAAGAGCACCCGAAGGCAAACAATCCTCTCTTTTCCGCTGCTACCACCAGGCGATCACTAAATCACCATTACTTCAGGAAAATGAAGATTCAGGTCCACACTTCAACGTCTTTTAAATAGAACTTTTGTTTATTGATTACAGAAATTGATAGTGATTCATGAATATCTTCTTTAGGTTATTATTAACAACATTCTTCTATTTGATAATATAATCCTAACTTTAATCACACCTCAGAATTCCCCAAACTCCACACTCTATCTCGTTCTCCACTCTCTCATGCTACTCATTCTCTCTCTCTCTCTCTTTCTCTCTCTCTCTCTCTGACTCCCTCTCAGGCTCCACCTCTTATCACATCTCTCTTGGCTCCGCCTCTCAGCAACATGAATATGCATGAACAATTAACATACCATGAACCATTGACATAATAAAGGGGAACGCTACAGTGGCTGTTCTTGAAAAGCTGTGGGTTGTGGGAACAGTAGTTGAAAGCATAGAGCTTAAAGGAGGTGCACCAAAAGGAACAATGGGGCAAAACTATCCATAGTACCGAAAGATATTGGCAGTGAGATATTGAGCACAATTGCTATGAAGCTGTGCAGGTAATCCTATTGTTATGTGCCTGCTAAGTTCAGAGCAAGGATCCATAATGTGGTGTCTATCAATATCTCTTGCCTCTCCCATTGATTTAAACAGGTATTTAAAAACGTTTATAGCTTAGTTTCCCAGGCTGGGAAACTTGGAAGATGAAAGTGTGTCTTTAATTGTGTGGTAGATGCTGGTTATAGTTATAGCTAGCAATCTGGAGGCTGCCTCCTTTTCTAAACCTTTGGTGTACCAAAGCTGTGGATAGACATGCCCTTTGTTGCCTCGCCTTTCCTCTGCTCTCTAGCAGTGGCCTGGTCTACTGCCATCTTTTCCTATGTTGGTAGACCAGGCTACTGGCTGGTGAGGGAAGGGGTGTGTCCTTTGCTGTACAGCACAGGCTCAGGTGCTTCACCCTAATTACAGCCCTGATGGGAATGCCTAGTTGCATGCCAAGGAGTGAGCAGGTGTCCTAGAGAAAGAGGTAAAGAGTTCAGTTGGGACCTGGAGAGGAGTGTATGCATACCAAGAAAGTGAGAGTGCAGTTCTCGTCATTTGCAGGATGGAAAAATTGTTTTTGTTTCAACTTACATACTGCCCCATAATGCTCAAACATTCTCTGGGTAGTTTACAACATAATTATACAAACCACACTTTACAACATATTGATCCTTGAGAATATTTTATGATGACTTTGCTATTTAGGGTTGTGCATTTGATTGCATAAATGATTCTTAGAGATGGTGCCCTCGAACTGGTGTTCAAAATTCCAAATTTTGTTATTTGTATAAAAGGATTGGAGGGCCCTGCTTTGTAGTCGAGCCACTGGCAGGAGCTTTCTGCCCATTATGGCTTCTATCACCATTGTGACTTGGAAGCCAAGAGAAAGAAAAGAGGACCAAGATAGCATGATTAGTGGCAGGGGCTGGCTGTCACATACTGGCTGGAACTAAGCATTCAGTTCTTTGATGTGGGTATCTAGCGGATAAGGTACTGTACTGTATACTGTATGGTCATACTCTTGGGGATTAGAGCCACTCATACAACTTCAGCTTCCTCTGTCATAATATTCTACTTAGAGGATCAGAGCTTCATAATGATACATTTATTCCACAATCACTCAGCAGCTTCATTTGCAGAATCATAAGGATGCACCAGATACCATCTCCGATTTATAACTCACTCATATCCCCCCCTCTGCTGCTCCTAGC